AATACTGTAAATCGGCAGATTTATGGAAACTTGAAAATCTTGAAAATTGACTAAAAAAATGCGTTACAAAATACCCTATTTCCAAAATTTGAAATCAATTTTTTTCTCATGTCCATGCATCTTGATGTCGAGATGACAAATTGGAGGATATTTGGGCATCAAAACAACCTCTTCTAGTGAAATTTTTGATGTAGGCTTTAATTTGATTGTTTAGAGCCTTGACTTTATATAAACTTTTCCCTTTTTTAAAATAAAAGGTCAATGTTATAAATTATTCAAGCTCAACAATATACTTCTTCATCTTGAATCACATAAAAAATAAATTTATTAATTCAATAAATAAAAGTACTATTAGGTTAAATGCAAAATGACAAATAAATGCAGTACCTAAATCTTGGTGAAAATAATTCGGTGAAATCAAATTAAGAAAAAATCATAAAGAAACTATGGAGAGAGAGAGAGGAATTTTAAAAGCGGAAAATGATATTTTAAATAAAAAAGATGAGACATTTTGAGAGAGGGATGCAGTTTGTGTGGAAGAGGAAGAGAGAAATAGGTGGGAGAGAAAGTGAGAGGAGAGGGAAAAAAAAGAAAAGAAAATAAGTTTACGAAGGAAGAGTTAAAAAAGAGATGATTTGTAAGATCTTTTAAACGCAGGAGGTTAGATTTAAGGGGTAAGAGAGATTTTAGCGATGGGAGAAAAGATGGTGTAGTGATGGCAGTAGTTTTGGGACGTCCAAATTTTAAAAACTGCTCTCCATAAACCCGCACATTTTTTTTATCTAGTGTATCTTTTTAGTAGCTTGGAATCATGTTAAGCGACACACCTTTTCAAAAGATGTCTCTATGTCCATCTCTCTTTAACTTATCAAAAATCTCTCCATTCTTTCCTATTTTATTTGAAGTAAAAATATACGGTAGAGACTTTTTTAAAATCTCTGGAGATGAGGAAAGATGATATATAAATATAAAAATTTCCTCACATACTTTTCTCTTCCTAAAATCTTAATATCTTTCTTAAAATCCTAAAAAACATTCCTCCCTTAAATTTATTTTCTAAATTCCTACTCGTACGTGCTTTTTTTGTTCTCTATAAAGGTTACATATCTCCCCCTGATTTTTAAAGAGAGAGAAAAACAAGGTATTTATGAAAAGGGGATTTTTAAGGAGAGAGAAGCAACATATTTAGGAAAAGGGATGAGAGAGTTACTAGGAGTTTGAAATTCTAGGAGATACTTAAGAGATAATCATGAGATAATTTAATAATTAAAAATAGGCAAAATGGACAACACATAAAACGTGTAAAAAAAAATAGAGGGTAAGCTCATCTCGCTTAATATATAATGGATATATATATATATATAACAAAAAAAAGTTTATATAAAGGCAAAGCCCTCAATAATCAAATTAAAGAGCACCTCATAATTCATTAGAAGTGAATTATGAGGTGGTTTTGATGCTTAAATCATTCATCTTGAGCTCAAAATTATGAACATGAGAAAAAATGTACTTCCAAGTTCATCTTGAGCTCAAGATTATGAACATGAGAAAAAATGTACTTCCAAGTACCTTGTAATACATTTTTTGAACCATCAAGTGTTCGATCTACATCATTTTTTAGGCTTTAATTTTATAATTAGAGACAAATTTTATAATTTTATAATACTAAACATCTTTTTCTTTTTTGATATGTTAAAAGTACTTAAAACATCTTTCTATATATATATATCTATGAAAAAACCTAAAAAACGCCTAGGTTAAATGCTTCAGTGTTTCACATCTGTCATGGAATTGCTATGTCCATGGCAGTTTATTAAACGGACTTGCAACGGACGGCGTTGTCTGTTGCAGTTCCGTGTGAATTTTTGAAATTTTTGAACTGCCACGGACATGCTAAGTCTGTGGTAGTCAAAAAATGCATACCGACCGATTATTTCGGACAGCGAATGGCCTTGTGTAGATGCTTCATATATATAT